CCCATCGTCATGATACAGCACCTGTGGAAAAAGAAATTAAATACACGTAAAAAATTAATTATACATTAAAATACTTTTCAAATTCACTACACCGTATGTACATGTACAAGTACAGTACGTGATGATAGAGTTACAGTTAAAATTATGAAAAAATACTTTCTTTACTTATAAAGCAAGAATCTTTCGTGGTGACCAAAAATTTTCACAAATTTTACGTGCTTTTAAAATTCAAAAAAATTGATTACACATGGTTATGGCCAAAAAGTAGAAAATTTAAAAATTAAATACACAAAATAAATTTTTGGATGAATCAGCAAATTCTTAGGCCATGAAAATATTTCACTAATTGCTATACAGTTTTCATAAGACCAAGAGTAGATAATAATTAGAGGAGAGTGTCCTACTGTACACTATGCCCCTGCTCATCACCACGTAGAAATGGAGAGTCCTATTCTGGTAATTTCTGTAATTTTTGAGTAGTTATTCAAAAATAACTAATGATGCCTATAACTACTCAAATAAAATACGAAAATAACCTCTCCATTTCTACATGGTGATGAAGCAGACCAAATAGCCGGTAGGACACTCTATTATTATCTACTCTTCATAAGACATACATGTACATGTGTACTTGTACATGTAGTTTGTGACAGAACATGTACACGTACATGTACTGTAGTTTGTACATTTACAATGTTCATATTGAAAGCAAAACAAATGCAAAACAATCAATGAAAATAATAACAATAACAACTAATTGTTACCCTTGAGTTTACATGTGTACATGCGCATGTACACGTACATGCACATGTACAGTACATGTACGATGCATGGATATAAACAGAACAAACAGAGCTGCTAAATATACTCACAATAAAACTTGTACATGCAGATACACTCTACATGTACATGTACAACATACACGTTTACTGAATAATTCAAGTCTAATGTGTCTAATAATTTTAGCACCACCTGTACATGTACATGTAACTACATGTATGCATACATGTACATGTACAGTATATGCATGATATATGAATGTCCTTAACTAATACTGTTTATTACATCATGATCATGAACACGTGAATGTACAGTACATGTATATGAACATTTAATTATATTAGTAATATTCTTACCTCACTAGCAGCTATACCAGGATATACTTCAACTCCAAGAGCCTCAGCTTGTTCACCCAACCACCTCACAAAATTACCCAATCGAACCACATAATTACCATGATTAT